AGTTTTTCCTGGAAAAATTGAAGTATATAAGATAACGCTCGTGCGCGCTCGCGTCATTGTGAATAAAGTCTTATCGCGCGCAAATGAATGACGTAATAATCTCCGCCCCCCTAAACTCTTGAATCTCATATAATACAGAAGAATACAGTGTCTGTCTAAAATAATGGTGAGCCTTGAACAATTAATCTCTTCTCGATTCATTTTACAAGTATATATATATATATATATATATATATATATATATTGCTACAATGTCTATTATTGTTGATGCGATTAATCAAAGGCAGAGACGATATCTTGTCTCTCTCTCTCTCTCTCTCTCATTTCAGAATAAGCTTTATCGGCTCTAGACTTCTATTCATGTTCACTATACTTTAAAAAAGCTATTCATGGCAAGCTCTTGTATTTTTTAACTGTCTATGAAATACACACGGGAAAATAGAAGATTCGTTTAACATTGATGATTCTTAACACGTTGTTTCTTCTTTAAAAATATAATTAAATATATTATGTCAAATGATTAGAACATTCGAAATGTGAAACTTTCATTTCTACATAAGCAGGGTTGGATAGTTACACATAACTTTAAAATTTTATATATGTAAAATATTGTATTCTACATTCCCAACCCTGATTATTTAAAATATTTATTTCTTACTAAAATATGTCGAGACGCATGAAAATCCCCTAAACTTCATATAACAGAAATGCCATTTGACAGAAATTTATATAACAGAAATTTTATTGGACAGAATATTTACATGGCAGACAATTCATATAACAGACTTTTCATTGGACAGACGTTTGATTGAACAGAATTTTTAAGGCCTGAGCAGAATAGAAACGTAACCGGAATCGTAACCGTAAACGCAACCGGAATAATAAGTTGGAGAAGGACAAACAATACGTCTATCCTTATCTAACTCATTCTTCCGGTTGCGTTTCCGATTACGATTCCGGTTACGTTTATATTCTGCTCAGGCCTTTATCGAACAGAAATGTCACTTAACAGAAATTTTATCTGACAGAATTTCCATTCAACAGAACATAAGTATAGCAGAACTCAAATTGGTCATTATTTAACTTTTGCATCATACATTCTCATCCCTGCTATATTTTTAACTTGTCGGTAAAGTAGACGTAGAGGTCAGTAGTTGCTATTTCTTTCTCGCGCCAAAGTTTGAATATTAAATAATAAAACTAATATTTTATTTCATTATTATTGATAATGAATACCGAATAATTATAAATAAATAAAATATTAGTTATATTATTTAATATTCAAACTTTGGCGCGAGAAAGAAATAGCAACTAATGACCTCTACGTCTACTTTACCGACAAGTTAAAAATATAGCAGGGATGAGAATGTATGGTGCAAAAGTTAAATTATGACCAATTAGAGTTCTGCTATACTTATGTTCTGTTGAATGGAAATTCTGTCAGATAAAATTTCTGTTAAGTAACATTTCTGTTCGATAAAAATTTTTTCCAATCAAACGTCTGTCCAATGAAAAGTCTGTTATATGAATTGTCTGCCATATAAATATTCTGTCCAATGAAATTTCTGTTATATAAATTTCTGTCAAATGCCATTTCTGTTATATGAAGTTTAGGGGATTTTCATGCGTCTCACATTCGGACAAAATTGTACTTTTGTCATCACATACTCAGGGTTGGGTTACTCGTGGTTTCTTTCACTCTAAAACATCCGAACTGTAAAACTTTTCTAAGGAATCATTTCAGTAGTATGCGCAAACAGACGTTATATTTTCGAAATTATATTATTATAATTATTATATTATTAATATTAATTATAATAATTATACTTTGTAAATCCAATAATTATATTTACAAAAAAATAACTAAGATTTAATTGTGTATGTCATTAAAAAAAAAAGGAAAACTGTTCATAGAAATAAAGTATTCGCTGTGTATTTTGGACGTGGATGAAGACAGTGTTTAGAATTATTTTGAAACGAGTATGACAATATTTGACTGGCTGTTCGCCTATATAGACAGACGCCTATATATTCGTGGTAAAAGTCAGTTGTTTGTTCCTTCATATACTGACAATCAAAATCCAAGAAACACAGAGACAAGCAGTCGAGAAGCACATTGAAAACGGAAATAGACCCGACACAATAAGCGAGTTGGTTCCAAAACTGTGTCGCAGGCGTACGTTTAGCGACACTCGAAACTCCCTACCCGGAACAAGAACATCAACAATAATATTCTCATCAACTGATGCTCCAAAAAATTTTACAAGCTCTCATTTGACAAATATAATCATTTTGCAAAACAAAAAAAATTGACATGCATTTAAAAATGAAATTTAACGACTGTCAAAACAGTTTTAATCTATTTCTTTATTTGAATATCTTTATCTTACCAATGAAATTCTATTAACACATTCTAGTAACACTTTAAAGCTTTAATATTTTCTAGGCTGTACTGTATACTGTACAGTAAGTGAGCAGGGTTGAGAAGGTAGTGTGAATAACTGCTTAATAGCGCATAACTACACAACCCTGGTCAGGGTCAGGCTAGTAATATTTCTAAAAATACAACTAGCTAATCTATTTATTTACGTATATTATATAAAAATTATTTATATATTACCAAATTATTCATTTTATTATACAAAATTACATTTGAAAAAGAAAAAAGTATCAAATACACACATTGTAACCGGAAGTTACAACATATTTAAAGTTATTTAATAGTATTTATTATTGTATGAAATATTTCACAAAAATACCATTATAAAATCATCAGACTTGGTGTGAAATTAGAAATAAATTAAAATTCTCCGAATTTTTTTTTTGTATTACAAAATTTTCATTCATTTATAAGTGAATATAACAAAGTTAGATGTAATGAATTAATTAGAGAGAAAAAGCGCGAAAAATGAGAGTGTATGCGCGATATACTATTGAAGGTGAATGGATGGAGTTTTGTTCATTGTCCAAAATGCGTGGAGCCTTGCTATTATAAGAAAAGTAGGCAAAGTGGATTAAAAGATAAGAGAGCGCGGTTTAAATAGTGCAAGTGTGGTTTTGGTGGTAGTATGTGTATATGTACATACATATACAGATATGTTTGGGTAATTGCGCTGCTAAGTTTAGGCGAGATGCAGTTGGCGTCAATGCGCGGATGCATATTCAGAACGGCCTCCTCATATTCTTATGCACTCACTTACGAGAAGCAGAGGGACCCACTGGTCTTCCATGTGTTGGTGAATGTGAATGGAACTTGCTGGCACCACGCCTGTTTATATTTAGCCACAGTGGGCGGTATAGCTGTCATGGATACGTATCATCGGCATAACTGAGCTTTTGCAAATGAATAATGAACTTTCATATTCCGTTCATCTCATGGATCTATACCCGAAAAACTATTAACTCTTGTCCACAGGGTTTTTACGATATATATGTTTTCCACGTGCGGTAATTCTTTTTTCTCTTTTTCTGTATAGTCAAGTTGAATGACAAAAATCGCATTTGTCCAAATACGCCAGGGTTGGGTCGATACTTTCAATGTTAAAAAAAAAAATGAAAACTTTTTATGTGGACATAACTATATCTTTTGTTTTGATCAAAATTTATTCGAAACGTTACAAGATCTCCAGAGCAAGTGCTTCTGGTAAACTTGACAAAAAAAACATACGAAGGAGATATATATAATAAAAGGAAAAAGATTAAACTGCGGTTTTCCAGCTGATTTACAAGAACCCTCAAGAGTAGAGTTATTTTGTTGCAATAGCTGAGCATGGAGCGCGCGAGAGTTGGACAGAAAAGGAAAAAGGGGAAGATTTTAGTCACATTTAATATTGTGCGTGCGTGACGTCTCAGCTGGTGCGCTCGCTAGATGAATAAACGTCTTCCTTATCGTCTAAAATAGCCTTTAAACTTCAAGCATATCTGGATCATAGCCAGGCCACAGGAACGGACAATAAAGCTAACCACATTAAATTATCATGATCCTTGTATATATGTGTAAAAGGCACACGACGGAGGGAAAAAAAATGCTCCTTTATGATCCGCGAACGTGTATTGTATATATATGCACGACTATAATTTTGTCGGCAAACTCGACCCCATAACACCCACTTTTCCATAATTTTCAAAATCCACAATTCGTCACCGTAAAAGTTGTAAACGCGCAATTAGACGGTACAACAAAGGAATAATAAAATTTAATAAAAAATTTGTCTATATACATTATGCAAAATGACGAATAAACGGGAACCTTTTAGCATGTTATAAATTTTCAGCCTCATGTTAAACGACCCACACGCAAGGAAGATGAATTTTCCACGCATATCTACATTGTTACTTTCGACGACGACTCTCGGCCTTCCACTTGAAATTTGCACTTTTTTTCCAAAATTTTTAAAAATATTTATTCATTTATTTTTAGACCAAGTTTAATAGACCTTTTCATGCTGATCATTCTGTCCTCTTCCAACTCATTCGTCATTGTATGCGCTAGATAAGGACAGAACGATCAGCATGAAAAGGTCTATTAGTTGCATCTTACTGCTGAGAAAGCAGGGTTGGGTAACCATGTGTTTTTTTAATTGGCTCCTAATATTTCCGGACATATTGTGAACCGATAAAAATTCGACCCAACCCTGTTGGTTTTTAATAAAGTCCAAAATGTGAAATGTGGTCAATAAGTGGCCACGTAACAAAATTTAGCCATTAATTACTAGCTTATTAAAATCGTAACCTAAGATAGAAAAGAGTCTATCTCATCTAAAGGATGGGAAATAAATGACTTTTAATATGAACGTATTATATTAATTAAAACGTGTATAGCTTGAAAGTGAATTAAAAAAGTTAAAGGGAGATTGGGAAAACGGAGAGAGAGAGAAGAATGGCCCGCAAAAAGGCAGAGCACTTTTGCAGGTCCGAGTAACAATCTATTGTGTGTATACTTGAAGCTCCACCCTTATTCGAATCGCTCTAATTAGTCGCTTTTTTTGTGTGTTTTCCAGACGTATCCCACTCACATGGCGGTCGACTCGCAGAAACAACAAATCGAGATGCAGCGATTACAAGCGGAACAGTTGAAGCGGCAACACAACATTCAGGAGTTGCAGGCGCAATTAACAAAAGGCCAACTGAATATGGCAAGTCCACAATCCTTGCTCTTTCTGCCACTCTTCGAGCAAATGAAAGGCATGCCCGTCTCATCGCAGATGCCACCTCCAACGTCAACGGCGTCTACAGGAAACAAGCATATCAATTCAATCGCCAATGTAAGAACGCTATTATTTGAAAAATTCTTTTTTAATTCAATATTTATAAATAAAATATCCTTCATTTAAATCTGTAAACTTAATTAATTTTTTAATCAAATTTTTAGATGATCGGCAGTCATCGAGACGGTCCGAGCTGGGCAACGGCGCATCTCGCTCAGATGACGACGAAAATGGAAAAGGAGACCTCCCCGACGCCCGTCTCGGCAGTGACTCCAACAGAGCATTCGTTTCCCGATCCGGATGCACCGTTGAATCTCACAAAACCAAAATCGTCTTCCTCGGGAGCAACAGCTTCCTTATCGCCAGGCAGCGATTCCCAATCGAATGGCGCTGGAAGCAGTGGTCATCAGGAGCAACCGCTGGCGGCTACGGCTCCTAAACTCTTTCCTCCTGGCCTTCCAATGCCAAGGAACTACCTTCAGAGTCTTCCTTACGCGGGACTTCCGCCTCATCTGAGCTCCCTCACGTCACCGAGTGAGTATTTCTTCAGTTTTTTATTTAATAAAAAGTATTGGGATCTGAAATACTGCGATACGCCATCTGGTGAGAGCCTTGTTGTGGTGGCCATTTTTTATTTTGTCTCTGTCGAACATATGTATAAAGAAAGAGACAAAACAGCAAGATGGTTGCCACAAGTGGGTTCAAGGGTGGGTCAGTTTCGCGTGATTTCTGATCCCAATTTCCAAGATGTTAGTCTCAGTCGCTAGGTCAATGTCACACACTCCAAGATGGCGGGAATGTTCACATTTCAGAGGTTCCATATACATCAAAATTATCAACATAACCTCACAAATTTTTTTTATTGTTTTCTATATTTGGTAAAGAGCAATCTTTTTTACACCTCTCTGCAAAAGTAATGATGTTCTTTTGCACTCATTTTCAAAAAAAAAAGTTTTATATAAATCAGTTCCTCAGCTTTGAAGAAATATCATAACAATTTTATATATATGTCCGCAATTACGCAATCTGGGTTATGGTTAATCTTTCGCGATATCAATGATATTGTAATATAGTTTCTCGCACTGACCCAGATCTTCATTTGCAAACATTTGAGAATCATCCCAAACTCCCTTATGCCTTAGACAAACAAACTCAGACATGTGGACTTTTGCATCGTCTGTCATAACTTCGATGAATGATTTATTGACAACAAAGCAAAGCATATTTTCCTTACGATTTTTTGGAATTACTATATATATGCGCAGATGGAACAAAATTCTCTTGATTCTTTGAAATCAAATTTTACTCAACATCTTGCGACCAAAAAAACAGTTTGCAAAAATATTCTTTCAAATTTTTTTTTTTTTAATCTGTTAAAAGTTTGTCTTTCTTCAGTATTTGTGGACAATTTTTTTTACAGAAGCTTCGAATCTATGTTCCGTCGGTAAAGTAGAGTTAAATGTGTCTCTAAATATTTGTTAAACTGTGCGATAAAAATTTGTACATAGAAAGAAAATGTCTCTTTGATGATAATAATTGTTTGTTGAAAGTTTTACGGGAAGAATGTAGAAATTCGTCAAATTGATGTCTAAATAAGAGGAATTTTTGACTTTTTCAGTAGGTAAAGTGATGGTGAAAGAGGAGTCGGTGAATTCGGCAGCACAAGCAGCAGCTGTTGCAGTAGAAAAACACTTCGCGATGCATGGACTCTATGGACTCCCGCCGACATCGGGCGCAATGCCACCGTCACCTCAAACTCAACGGCCCGTCAAACTTTCGTCAAATCGAGACGAGCCTCCTTCCGATGATCAAGACTTTCTTACATCACCTCACAGTAAGTCTAAATTAACTCAACTTTATTCACACATAAAAAAGTTTTTTTCATTTTCTTCATTTAAACACTTTCATAAGATCTGAGCTTTCAAAAAGCATTAAATATTCCCCAACCAATTAAAAATGACGTTTTGCTTCACTTATTAATAATAAATTCTTAATAAAAAACATTTTAGTTTATGAGCCATTCTTCTTTAAAGATACAATTTTACCTATTAGAATAAAACTGAATTTTTTTTTATCAATTTTCAGTGTGGAGGGAACAAGGCTACAAGGTTCCTGAAGATATCACAGAAAAAGGTAATATATTGTATTATTTTAATCAATTTAATTTTATTAGGTAGGGGTAAGCGGTACAGTTGTTGCCCCCCTCACAGTGATTGCCACCATTACATTACAAACAGAAATAATAACGAAATTTACATATAATATTTTGTTTTATTTATTTATATAAATTCTACAGAATATTCTGCTAATAGTGTAAAAAGATTTTTATTCTTCGACTCACTATTATGAAAATAATAGCGCTTTTCGAGAACAGTGTCCTTAGCTCTTTGAAATTTTGTCAATTTAGTTGTAAATTTGCAATGATACTTTCTTTGACTTTTTAACGAAAAAATTATACATATCATTATTATTTTTTAATTATATTCATGAAAATAAGTTTAATAATAAGTAAAAAAATTTGTTTTAACGTAATTTGACTCGATTTACCGAAAATTATAGAGAACAACTACTATCTTGCAATTAATAACAAATAACAGTCATTGCCCTCTCCGGGCAATGTTTAATTTTTGGTTATTATGTCATTTTTCAGTGATTAACCGTTTATTTTCAAGACTTTTTTGAGATAAGTATTTTTAATTTTTTGACGTTTTTTCATACTTGTGACGCCGCACGAGAAAAGGTACCTAACCCCGAAATTGGGATCTGAAATACTGCGATACGCCATCTGGTGTCGACCCACTTGCGGTAGCCATTTTTTATTTTATCTCTGTCGAAAATATGTATAAAGAAAGAGACAAAACAGCAAGATGGTTGCCACAAGTGGGTTCAGGGTTGAGTAGTTACACAAGATTTCGGATCCCAATAACATTAGGCTTAGTTTTCCGTGTATAGTGCACGGAAAACTGAGCCTAATGTTATTTCAGGGATAGGTCCCTTTTCTCGTGCGGCGTCACATTTGGTGAATTAATTTTTTAAAATAAGGATGTAATTAGAGCCGCAGCATGTATTAGAATGATTTGTAATAATTTATTAACAATTTTTTAATATGAAGTATGATTTTAGGTTGTCGAAAAAATGCCGAAGGTAAAAAAAAGGTGTTTCGTATATAAAAACCCACTGTTTTAAGCAATGAAAAACTTCAAAATCATGTAATCATTATATCAAATCAAAATAGCCAAAAATAATTTTTATTTTTACAATTGAGTCAGATTCGACAATTTTCCCAATTTTTTAGGTTAATAGTATTATTTACACTTAAAAGTCATATTTAATGAATCTTATTATTGTTAATAAAAGAAAATTATTTTAAAAATTACTTCTTCTTTATTAATTTCAAATTATATTCATTCTTTAATAAATTATGCAAAATTTATAATTTACATTACTATTTTATGTCTAGTGGGCAATCATTGTAAAATTGATGGTCAATCACTGTAAAAATAATGACAATCACTATTTTTTCTGTCATGTGAACATTTTTTTATTTTTTTTAAATTTATACTAATATTAAATAAACAATTCATTACACAGGCCAACACTGATTTTGGTGCGGCAAATGTCAGACCTGTTTTTGATATGTTTTTTCATGCTGAACACAAATCCGTAAACGAAAAGTTCCTATCAGCTCTAGTTTTTGAGAAAAACGGGTTTTAAATGTTCAAAAATCGCGTTTTTGGCTAACTTTGAGTACCTTTAGCATTGAAATATAAGGTCGTAGAACCTTCCACTTGGGCTTAACCTTCGCTTGACAAGATGCCCACCCAGGGTGGGCCAGACAAATTGAAATTGCCATATCTTCTAAAGTTTTGCCTTAATTGAATCGCGATTTTAAGTCACTGAACAAAATCTTAAGAACTTTCAAAAAATGTAAAAACAAATTTTTAAAAAAAATTTCTTCTTGATTATTTATAACTTTTATCAATGTATGTACGGAGATAACCGGGATGATTCAGATATTTTTTTAACTCTATTTTACAAAAAGACTTGAAATCATGCAGACTTTTCACTGTGAGTGTTTTATGATGTCAAATAATAGATATAAAAAATATTATGTTGCATTTTTCATTTGTTTAAACCTTTAAACAATTTATTGTTATTATTTATTAACTTTCTTTGTTCTGCACCTAGAAAGATGCAGTTTTTTTCTAATTTTGCAATTTATCAAGCGGAATATAATAAACTGCATCTTTCTAGGTACACTACAAGAAAGTTAATAAATAACAACAATAAATTGTTTAAACAATCGTTTGAATACTAAATTCATATAAAATCTTCATGTTTATTATGTTGAGCTTGTTAAGTTGCAAAATTAGAAAAAAATTGCAATTTTCTAGGAATATTATGAAGAATGTTAATAAATAGCAACAATTATTTGTTTAAACAATTTATAATAATAGTTGTTGCAAATTGAATTATATATTTTATTTTATTTATAACCTTTGAATTAATAACTACGAAGAAAAGGTAACAAATTTATAAAATTCTTCTACTGTCGTATGTATATTTGAAAAAGTTATAAATTATTAATAATAAATTGTTTAAACAAATAAAAAATCAACAAAACATTAATAAAATATATTATTTGGTAACATATAACAATTTTGGAAAAAAACTGAATGATTCTAAGTTTTTATTGCAATATACAAAGAAGAAAACATTTGGCCCACCCTGGGTGGGATCTTGTCAACCGTGTATATAAAAAGTATCCAGTCCGGCGAAGGTTAAATTGAGGCTTAATGTTTCAACTATTATCCCCAAAAATGACCTATGTTGCACCATAATTTCAAAGTCATTTGTTATCATTTTTGATTCGCAAATATTAATTTTGTAAAAGTTTGAGCGCGTACCTCTAGCAAAGAAAAAAGGATTATAGAACCTTTTATTTGAACTTAAAATAAAGTTTGAATTTTAGACTACAAGCCCTAAAAATTATATTATTCAGTAATAACCTCAAAATTGTATTATTAACCCTAAAAATTATATTATTCAGTAATAACCTCAAAATTGTTGGTAACTAGTATTTAGCTACAGAACTTATTTGGTAATATTTAAATAACTTTAGTCAATAAAATCAAAGGTGAGTGAACCTTCTTGTTGAGCTTCAATTCAATTTATCCCTTGATTGTAGTTCATAAAAATTACATTGCTGCACCTTAACCTCAAGGACTAGATGTACGCGCACAAACTTTTACAAAATTAATATTTGTGAATCAAAAATGGATAACAAATGACTTTGAGGTTATGGTGCAAGATAGGTCATTTTTGGGGATAATAGTTAAAACATTAAGCTTCAAATTAAGCTCAAGTGGAAGGTTCTAAGACCTTTTGTTTCAGTGTTAGAGGTACTCAAAGTTAGCCAAAAACGCGATTTTTGAACATTTTAAACCCGTTTTTCTCAAAAACTAGAGCTGATAGGAGATTTTCGTTTACGAATTCGTATTCGGCACGAAAAAACCTATCAGAAACAGGTCTGACATTTGCCGCACCAAAAAAGTTTGCTAATTTTGTAATTTTTAATTATTTTAATAATTATTATTTTCAGATTAATAGAATATTTTAATTCCTTTACAAATGGTTTCATTTCTCATTTTGATAATTAAACATTTGTAATTTGTATAAATATATCCCCTTTTCTGCTTATACTGGCAATCACTGTACCGTTTACCCCTATCAATTGTTGCATAAATAGTTGAATTTCACTCTAGATAATAAATCAATTGCAAGTATATACAAAAAAGTATAATAATTATCAAATCCTTTAGTAAAAGTTTAATCTAATATTAATATTTTTGTGTTTTTCTTTTAGCCAAAATGGTGAGGCAACAAAAAAGGGAAGGGGAGAACAAGCCACATATCAAGCGACCAATGAATGCGTTTATGGTGTGGGCCAAAGATGAACGAAGAAAGATTCTTAAAGCATGCCCCGACATGCACAATTCGAACATATCCAAAATTCTCGGTAAGTGCATGTACATAAAAATAAAAAAAAAAACCTATTTTTTCTAATTTTACTTAATAACTTTTTTATTTTAAAAAAAAAATTTGTTTCTAGTCAATTTTTCCCAAAAGGTTTTTATGAAAATTCCTTGAGCGACAATTCATTGTATTTATACGAATGTAAGGAATTTAGAATATGCATAATAGTGCGTGTCATCAATACTTTTCTCCCTCGGAAAATATACCTATTAGATTTATTATTACGATTTGTCACAGAATTTCAGTTTTACGATTTGTCATAAAAGTTTATTTTACCATTAATTGTCAAAACGACAGCAAATTATATTATACTATTTTACTACTGAGAAATCAACAAAATGTAAATTGTAATCGTAAAAAATGATTTTATTTCACATTAGATATAAATTTAATTCAAAAAGTTTTTATAGAAGCAAGAATTGTCAATTTTTGTATATTGTTGCAGTTTTAGTATTAGGGAAAAATTGATTGAATTATTAATTTCTAATTGATTTTGTAATTATTTATTTTTTCAGGAGCACGATGGAAAGCAATGTCCAACTCGGAGAAGCAGCCCTACTATGAGGAGCAATCGCGACTATCCAAGTTGCACATGGAGAAGCATCCGGACTACAGGTATCGACCACGTCCCAAACGAACGTGTATTGTCGATGGGAAAAAAATGAGAATCTCCGAATACAAATCCCTGATGCGACAACGTCGTCAGGAGATGCGTCAACTTTGGTGTCGTGACGGTGGTCCCGAAATGGGTTTCCTGTCGCCTGTGAGCTCGGACATGAGTACACATCATTCGGGCGCGGGACCCTCAGCGAGGCCCTCAGTCTCACCGCCACCCTCAATGCTCAACGGCGCCGGTCCAAGTTCCGATCATCCCTCATTCTACTATCCCCAGGACAGTTTATCGCCCTCGGACGTAATGAATTTCTCTCCCGACAATTCGGGTTCAATGGGCGGTTATGATGCGAGTCCACGACATCCGGACGAAGATTGAACCATGGCTCCGGGTCAGCCGAACATTTGGCAACCCGGAGCATCGAGACTCAGCCACGAATTGTTCTGGTAACCAGGACACAAGCCATTTGTTTCTTTTTTTTTTTTTTTGTTGACCAGGTCATAACGTTCCAGCTCCCCACCAGGAGTCGCAGCAGTCGCAGAATCGACGAGACTTGAATCTTGGTTGTGATATTAAAAAAAAAAATGAAAAGGTCTGTCTCTGTGCCATCGCGCGAGATAAGCGCCCTCCCCGCCCCCCAGGTTTTTCGTTCTCATAGTTTAAACCCATTTAGGATTCCTCATCGATGATGGGAATGTAAAAAAAAAGTCCAACCGATATTGAACGTGTGATAAAAAAAAAAGAAGAAAAATCTTCGGTGAAGATTTAGACTTTCCGATTACAATCGGTCTCACACTCTTAAGTAGTTAAAAAAAAAACAAGTTTTAATTATATAAGACCCGAAAAGTCTTGTTCCTATTATAATACCTTCTCTAGTGGTAATTCTGCGAGTTAAATCGCACGCGTCTGTAGGTCGCAGGAAAAAAAAAATATATATAATACGAAGATTCTCAAATAAGGGAGAAAAAATGCGTGAGTATTATAGAAACGCTTTTAGAGCGTCTCTATATATATAAAAAAAACCGGTTTCAAGTTTTGCTCGCCTACGATTTACTTATTGATCGAGCTAAACTTTTTTTTTCCGTTTCCGATATATTTGACGAAAATGGTGAATCATCGAAATCGGCGCGCAAATTGATTCCATATGCGTTTCGAGTTGCATATATTATATACATATACTCTGCAGAAAACATTTAAAGAAAAACAAAAAAAAAAATGAAATGAAAACACCTTGTACTTATAGTATTTTCAATCATTAATTTATTAAACCTGACAAAATGCTGAAAGAAAGAGATTTTATTGTCGCGAAAGAATGAGATCAATATTTTGAATGTTTAAAATCAGGTACGACAATTTTTGACAAGCGCTTTTTAAATTGAAAAAAATAAATAAGCGATTCAAATAAAAATTTTGTTATTTTTGTACGAGCTTACTTTTTGAGACTCAAGAATTTTTAGAAAATTTATCTGAAAGTTATCATCTATTAATTTAAATTTTCCGAATTTCATTATACAAATGAAAATTTCAAAATTATTTAAACAATCTTACGTTGGGATATTTAAAATCGATATATCAATATTAGAATCGATTTTTACAATCAATCGATTTATTGCTAAATTGAAACATTATTTTTACCCATTAATAAAGTTTAAAATGAGAAATCTTCTTTCAAATTAAAAAAAAATTCCAAGTCTCATTATATTTTTGTCATTTACTTGAAAATAAGAATCGTAATTTAATATTTTACAAAATTTGATTTGAAATGTCGGGCCTGATTTGGAGTGTAAGACAAAAATAAATATATTTAAAAAAAAATAAATAAATAAACAGAAATTTTGCGCGACAATTTTTAGGGAACTGTTACTATTGTAAAATTACGAGAATTAGTGTTATTTATTAATGGATAATAGGCTAACAATCAAATTATATTATAAAAAAACGTTGTATTGTTTTTAAATATTTCGGACAGGATCGTGTTACGTTTTTCTATATTTTTTTTTTCTTTTTTATTATATGCATATATATATATATATATATATATATATATATATATCTAAACAAGTTCGTGAGAGGAAACGAAAAAACCGAGCGAACGCCTAAGAGACAAATTTTATTAGAAAAGAGAAGAGATATCCTCGATCCATTTATCATTATAATTAGCAATAATAGTTATTATTATCATTATAATTATTATTATTATTATTACTATTACTATTATAATCAACATGCCATTATTATTTTTGAATTTTTCTACCGACTATACTTGAGTTTCAAATCCTTAGAAGATTTTTTATATTATTATTATTATTATTAAAATTTGTTATTTATTACGTCACTAATGAAGTTTAATCAAAATAAAAAGAAATTAGTAGAGTTAAGACTATAAAGAAGAGAAAAAGGACGTAAATGTTGTTGATACTGGAATATTAAAAAAAAAAAAGCAAGGGGAGCATAAAAATGCAAATATAAAATTATTCGGTTAAAAAAAATTTTTTCTACGACATTTGCGGTCCTTTGGAACACGAGGATATCGAGAACTTGATGTGATAATACTTATGTGCCAAATAGCGTTTTCGCGGGCAGGAGGTCGATTATTTTAAAAAAGAGTCCTCCGTGTTCCGAGTCGCCTCGTTGGCTCTACGTGAATCTTCAATCTTTTCAAGTGTTTGAATATTTCTCAAAAAGCAATTTTTGATATTAATACATTATTTATATCAAAGAAAAACAAACATAGATATATAATTATTGTTTCACAAAAAAATATTTTTTAAAAAATGTTTATCGATATATCGATATAAAATATCGATTTTATTGATTTTATTTAGTTTATCTAAAGAAAAACAAATTCTAAATTGTTTTTTTTAATATTTTCTTACATAAAATGTCTTTTTAAGCAACTTCTTTAAAAAAAAAATGTCTTTATAGTTTTCTTTTGTAAGTAACAAAAATGTGTCTTTTTAGTTTCTTTAACAAAACTTTTTTTTAATTGTTTTTTAACAAAGAATTTTTTTTTTCTAAATATTTCTTTTGATAAATAATTTTTTGAAGAGAAAACGAAGTTAAAAAAATTAATTACATGTATCGAGATAAGGGGGTAAAATTTTATTATTATAGACCAATTTTATGGTTGCGATTTTAATTAATTAATTAATAAAATTAAATATACTAATAATAAAAATAAATGAAACCAAGGAATTTTCTTTTGATAATAAAAAGAGAAAAAAAAATAAGAATTCTGAGGAATATTCAAGCGCATTGAATTCTTTACTTTATTACTGCGTCTCGACCGTTTTTTTTATGCTGTTCAAATTTTTTTTTTTTTTTTTGTTAATTTATGATGAGTGCAATGACGAATACAAGGTACCTAAATATAATTTAACAAAGAGAGCCAGTATCCTCGGTTATAGCCCCGATGCTGCCCCCTTCAATTCCTTTTATTGTTCCCCCACCCAAATTATCCCTCTTCCTCCTTCCTGTCCCCCCCCCCCAACAAAAACTATATATATATATATATAAATTAATGAAAAAAAAAATGAATCCATTTTTTTCCCGGTGGCATCGCAAGTCGCTTTTCGCGCGCTGGATATAGAGCCCGGCGACTATAGGAGAATAGCTTAATATGTTGATAATAATTTATTTAATGTATATATAAATGAATTTGTACAAGGCAGCAAGTAAGCGGGCGGGCCAAAGCGTCATCTTTTTTTTTTTTTTTATTTTTTTCATATTTTATGCGACGGCCGATGCCATGTGTCAATATTAAACAATTATTCATGTACAGTGTAAGTATATTAATTGTGATGTAACTATACGTAGCTCTATTGCTCTATGTGTATAATTATTATTATTAATTAACGGGCAGAATGCGATTCAATTATAGCCATACGTCACACATAAACTATCACACACGCCTAATTGTTATTATTATTATTGTCATCATATTATCATTATTCATATTAGTCCGATTTTATCCAACACATATTTGTTTGTTTTCTTTTTTTTTTTTTAACTAGGCGATTTTTAATTATTTTCTATACATCCCTTTTTACGGTAGAGGGCGCGAAAAATCGGAATGAGAGTGAGAGAAAGAGAAAAAAAAAAATTACATTGCGCGCGTCTGTATGTATGTAAGAAAGAAAAAGAGAGGGAGATATAGCCATTTGCGCGAGACTTGTGCCAGTTTTAAGAAAAAAAAAAAAAAAAAAAAAGTCGAAGATTGATACTCAAATTATTTTTTCTATTCTTTGCCATTCAATTAAATCAAATTTTCTTTAAAGTCTATATTGACTTCTATAGTCTCCCGCTACTTTCTCCAGTTTGGTGATGGGATACCGATATCAAATTATATATCGATATATTGAACAATTTATATAAATTAATTTTTCCATCTATCGATAAATTTCGATATTAATATCGACACAATAAATTTCAATTTTTATATCAATATACATTAAAAAAAAATTCTAAAAGAAACTTCAAAATTTTTGTATAGAAATATTAAAGAAAAAATCGAAATTTATTTATTGATACATAGTATAAATAATTATGATATTATTTTGAAAAAAAAAAAATATTTTTCGACATCCCATCACTACTTCAGCCAGTTGCCACTTCCAAAGACCTGCACTCTTCGAAAGGGTATTATTACTTTTATCGCTACTTATCGATACTACTTCGTACTCCGAAACTAAAAGCGTGTAAGTCGAAAGTCTCTTTTTTTTTTTTTTATTCGATTCAATTTTGATTATTTCTCAACATGTGCCATATTCAATTTAAATTAAAATGATAAATATCGAAATTAAACTGTCGAATGTTTATTATTTCGATATATCAATAAATTTACAGTTCAATATATCGAAACATCGATAATTAATATTGATATATTAATTGTTCAATAAATCGCAAGTTTTGTATATATCGAATAAATTAAACAATCGATAATAATTCAATGTATCGACATTTAATAAATCGACAGCTTTGTAATATCGATATATCGAAATTGTCACACGTCGTTAATTCGATATATTTCTTTGAACAAAATTATTAGTCGCAAATCTCGTTTTTTATTTGTTAAAAAAAACTTTTACACCTTTTTCGAGCAATGCAAAAAAAAAAAGAAATATTTTTCTTTCTCCTTCCTTCGTTTTGTAACAAGTGACTTTCGACGCTTACCAGAGCGAATGCAAAATGTAAGAATAGCGAATTGTAAAAATAAAAAAAAAATGAATACAATTTACTAATACTATAAATATACACTATATAATGGTAAAAAAAAAAAATGAAAAAGACGCGCGCGCGTGTCAAAACTAACATTCAATCTCAATATTCCAAGCATTCACTTCGTTTATATGTACGTTGTTGTTAATGATAAAGAAAAAAATATATATAATAAATAAATAATTAAATAAAAAAAAAAGTAATGCTTTACCGAAAAAAAACTTCAAACTTAGTTAATAGGTGTACGACGTTATTTCTATTTAGAAGTTTGCCTGAATGCGAAGAATGTTTGTCGAAAAAAAAAGCATTGTAAATATTTTAAACTGAATAAATGGAACAAACGAAGATAGCGAGAATGAATCTCACGGATGTTGTTCGCATTATCAAGGCCACAATTAGTTTTATTATATAAGAAATTCTGAATTTTTTTCTAAATTGAGAATTTGAAAAAAATCTTCATTTAAAATGTTTATTAAATTTATTGTTAATTAACGAAAAATATATTTACAATCAACTAAAAAATTAAGCTTAAATTAATATTGTCAATTGTAAAAATTTCGATATAGGTTTCACAATTGATGAAACATTTTTCATTGTTATAAAATCGTTAATAAAACAAATGCCATTTATAGAAAAAGCAAAAAGAAAAAAAAAAAATTGGAAACGTGCCATTGGCACTGATAATGCGGATATCAACTGTATGTATTTGAAACTAAGCTCAACAAATTGTTTCAAGTGACCGTTATCTTGCTTTCAGTCGCATTAGTGTATATTGACTCGTTTATGCAAAATGAAAGAAAAAAAAAAAAATTATTCTACGGTCCTAGATGTGACTTTTCCTCTCCCTTCCAAGGATAGTGACATGAAATGCACTATATCACATAGAGAACAGCACTATTATAAACATAGATATATCATTATATTTATTATAATAATTTAAAAGCTAGGTACTCTTTGTTGTTTGTATTTTACAAGCGTACTCATTATTATTACATATAAATAAATACCTATATAAATGAAATCATTGTCTTTTCATTTCTTTTTTAATATTCAACAAATCGCAACACTTTTCATTTTATTGGATCTTTCCTTTTCTTTTCGTTGTAACGCAAATATGTGCTCAATAGAAATAGAGTGTCGTCAATTTGCAATTCACTCACACCCAATTGTCTCACTTGATTTTTCACTTTTTCCAATTGCGTTTTTTCAGGTAAAGTCATCATACTTTCCATCTAGTGAGAAATAATAGATTAAATATATTAATATTCAATTCACATTTAACTGAATTTCTAAATTTTTATTTTTTCAAATATCCATTTAAACCAAATATTTATAATTTTCCGAATATCCATTTAATAAAATTTTTATTTCATCGAATTTCCATTATTAGATCTAATTTTTTTAAACTTATCTTTATATATTTTTTCAAAAACATTTTTTTACAAAAATTGTTATTTAACAGAATACTATTTAATTAATATTTATTTAATTAACTTCCATTTAGTTTAATAATTTAATTGACCTAATTTCAATTTGACCGATTTTTTATTTTAATCAATTTACATTTTGATGAATATTTAATTTTCCGAACTTTTTATAACAGAATTTTTATTTAATGACCCTAAAATAAAGTCTCGGTGAAATATAAATTCTACCCATTTATAAATTCGGCATAAAAAAAGTAATTTCACTACACCATAAAAAATAAATAATATGAGGCATTCACCCGTTCCACCTTCAAAAGACGATCGCCAGCAGAGCGTTTTTTAAGTTAATATTTTTATATGAAAAGTAAATAATTTATATAATGTTACACACTATTTCGAAAGAGAATTTAACGACCTTTCGATTGGTCTTAACATTTTTTTTAATTTCTTACAATTTCAAACAGAAATTGCGTTTTGAAATATTCAACTTTTGATATCTCAAAACACCCCCCCTTCAATTTTATTTTAATATATATGAAAATAAAGCTTAGTTTTTCTAGTTTCAAATTCCGTTTGGTTTATCATGGACATTTGTGAGGATTTTTTGGATAACAATGATTCAAAATATGTGTTTTTGAAAACTTTGACACGAAGTATGAAGTTGAATCCTAACCCGCATTCAACCTACGTCACACACGAATTTCATTGTTTTGAAAAAAAATCGCAACCTATAATAATAAAAATTTTCTGTAAGGAGATTAATAATATCGTATTTATTTTAATAAAATGCTTTTAAGTGATTTTTAAGTTTAAATTTAAAATTACTCAACAAATTAATTTTTTAATATTAAATGCAATTATTATTGGAGGAAAATTTGAAATAAATACTTTTATTTTATGAAAAAAAAGACATTTTTTTGTAGATTAAACGAAACATTTTTTTATTTCAGCAAAAATTAAACACAGAAGAATTATAGTCCTTGAAAAAATACTAATTTTTAAATAACAAAATTTTTTTCTTTATTTAGTTTTGAAAAATTTACTTTCCTCGGACGAAGAATATTTTTTTTGAAAGCATTTGTGTTTCAGAAACAGGAATGAAGGTGTGATATTTTTGTGTTCCTGAAATTGTTTTAGATTCATTAAATCTTTTTTGTAAGAAATTTTTTAAAAAAATTTTCAGAGTAAATCATACTTTGACTCTTGCTTAAAAATCTCAGAAGTACAAAAAATTAGGAAAATTGTTCTCATATAGCAACAATTATTATCACGGTGCAAAAATTCGCAATATTGCGTACTAATATTGCTTTTTATTTTTCTATCTTATAAATAATAAAAATTATTCTAATGAAAGATAAAAGCTATTAGAAGATTAAATTTAAAATATTTAGAACACATTTATTCAAATTATTTATTTAAAGATAATTATTGTATAAATAAATAAATATTTCAAATAAATTATTGTACAGGTTGCGATTTTTTTTTCAAAACAATGAAATTCGTGTGTGACGTAGGTTGAATGCGGGTTAGGATTCAACTTCATATTTCGTGTCAAAATTTTCAAAAACACATATTTTGAATCACTGTTATCCAAAAATTGAGATATCATGAGTTTTATATTTCAAATCAAGATTTCTGTATGAAATTGTGAGAAAATTAAAAAAATGTTAAGACCAATCGAAAGATCATTAAATTCTCTTTCGAAATAGTTTATAACATTATAAGATTATTTTCTTTTTTATATAATAAAAATCTCTTGAAAAACGCTCTGCTAGCGATCGTCTTTTGAAGGTGGAACGAGTTGAAATAGAATGCCTCATATTAATTATTATTATTATATTATAATCTTCGATTTAAAAAGAAATATTATTTTTCAGTTTGAAAAAAATTTTACAGGTCAGAGAAATTATTCTGGGGAAATAAGAATTATAAAAATTGTTGCGTAGATACAAAAAATACACAACAATGGAAAATGCGAAAAATTTATTGCAATTTATCATAAATCAAATAAACATAAGTATAAAATTGGGTCATTTTTTGTAAAATCAAGTTGCCTTTTTTTAAATCATTTTCAAATACCTTTCTTTATGTCTTCAAATTGGTAGATAATAGTCGTTATCATAAATCAGAAACAATTTTCACGACATAATAATTCGTGATAAAAAAAATAGCTTGTAAAATATTTATTACTAAAAGCGGTGCCTAGATAAACAAGATGGAAAATGCACAACAAACAGAATTTAGTTAACAAACCAAGAAGACGTAAAAGCAGAAAAATTTAATTGCAGTAGAAAATGATGCCATTTTTTGTAAAATATAGCTGCATTATACTATGGCTATTGTATTTCACTAATCTTTGTGCAGATCCAAATGAAAATGTGAATTACAAACTCAAAGAGGTAAATAGTCTCGTTCGCTATATCATCGAGAAGGGAGGCAAACATCAGGTAATGATTATCATTGACCAACAAAACACTCATCAATCGCAAAAAATCAATGACTTTATTCAAGAAATTAGTCTCCATGTACCCACGCTTTTGACAACAGTTAAACAAACAGAGAAATCATTCGCAATTCACAGACACGTTGGCAGAAATCCTAGAGAAACGACATTATTTATCATCATCACTTTCTTGGAAGAAAAGAACTTCCAATTAAACGATCAGTTTAAAATCATAGAAAAATTGTCCCATCAGTACCCACCACCAAAATGCCTAATTGTTCACTTTTCCAAGCACAGAGAAATGACTTACAAGATATTCCTGCTAATGAAGTGGCAACGAAATTTTTTAGATATTAGTGTTCTTCAATTAGTCAATGTTAAATTGAACCTTAATGACTGTTTCGCAATCACAAAACATATTTCATTTCTACATCAACTGAATCCATTAAGTGAAATTTACACGATAAAAAAAAGTTGGACCTTCCTGTCTTGGTTTCCGGATAAAGGATGTAATATTTTTAAAAGACAAATCACGGTTTTGAGATATTTAATAGTTCCTAATCAAAAATTGCAAGAAACAATGTCAGTATATTTGAATTACACATTGAAAATTGAAAAAATTGGAAAGATTCTACCAATACTCTTGAATAGAATGCAAGCACATTTATTTTACAATACTTTACAATATTTTCACACACCTAAGCAAAGAAAATTTCATTATAGTCGTATTATACAATTGGTGCCAATTCATATCGCAGTTCCAAAGTTACAACAAAATGCATTCAATGTGAATGTATTAAGTTGGCAATTGTTAATTGCAATTGTTGCAAACATATTGATTGTTTTTACCTTACATGGTCTTTTGATGCTTTTAAAATTTGATAAAAATTGTTGGCAAATCCTCGACATTGGAGGTTTGATTTTAGGATTGGGACTTCCTAATGTTCCACAAAGAATGCGAGAAAGAATTGTTTTATGCAGTTTGTTACTGATGTGTATCATTTATTCTGGATATTTCCATGAAATGATAACAGGCATGGAATTACGATTAGTTGAATATCAGGAAATAAATTCACTGAAAGAACTCGCTGCTACCAATCTATCTCTACAGACATCTGTTGGGATCAGTTGGCTTGAAAAAACCAACAATGAACCAGAGTACTTTGAACAATTGAGAAAAAGATCTATAAGAAAGACAGGTTCGAAAAATGTTGCCCATTGCATAAATGAATTACTCATTTATAAAAATATCTCATGTTCTCTTTCTCCTAAGATTATTATGGGAAAAATAACAAACAGCAGAAAGTTACAGAAAAAACTGGAAATGAAAGTTATTGATGACACTTTGTCTTACAGTGCATCGGTCATTGCCGCAGAGTCGGGATTTCCTCTAATGGATAATTATAACAAGAAACTCCTTCAGTTTATTGAAAATGGATTGATGTCAAAATGGAAGTTGTACGATTCAACGAAGCTGTCTATTTCAATAGAGGAGTCAAAAGAAGAAAGTCAATCAAAAGCATTCCTTTTACGAGTTCTTGTAATTTTGACTTTTGGCTATTTATTGTCAATTGCAGTTTTCATTGGCGAAATTTCATGGCATTACTTCACTTACACAAGGGGATTGAGAGTTATTGACCTTCAAAAACAAAAAAGAAAAAATTTTCAATTGCTTTTCTTACGAGATAAATCTAAAAAGACAAGGAATCTACAAACGCGAAAAAAATCGAAAATTGATGAAATTTTCAAAATCCTACGACGAAAATGTCAAGAAAAAAAATAAAAGATAACAGCAAACAATTAATTTGGATTCTAGATCAATTTTTGTATTAGGTATAGTGTACACTAAAATTTCTCTAATAAGTTTTGTAAATTTTCTGAATGAAAAAAATTTCAATTTAAACTTAGTTTTTCATTGTTATATAATCAAATATATTTAATTGTAATCAAGATGTAAGTGAGGCATTCTCTAAAAAAAGCCACCTAAAATTTTAAATTATTGGATTTTTATTTATGTAACATTATTATTTTCAAATCCGTATAAATATGACAAAACTTTATCGATTTTTAAATTGAAAAATAAAAATTTAAATAAATAAAAACGTGCTTGAGTGAAAATTCAGCGAAATGGAAATTCGACATTATAAATTTCAATATCATGGAAATATAACAAATGTAATTTCCGTGCAATAAAATTGAGAATTGTCAATTTCATGTGAATAAAGATTTTTAAAAATTAGAAATTAGGAAAATAGAATTTAAAAAAATATATATACCAACCTCTTCCAATTGTTCCTGTGTGGCTCCTTTCTCTTTAAAAGTTGCAGTGAGTGTTTGAATTTTCAAATGTTTATCAATCATTCTTTTATTAGTCGTAATTTCGTACTCTCGCCTTTGAATAGTATTGTGAAGCGCATGATAGCAATGCTCTATCTCCATTCGCACCACTTGATCTAAATCAATGTGAAAGAGAAAAAATGTTTTCATTGGCGCTGCCGAAACACCCGGCTTCCTTACCTCCTGCAATTGAATATAATTTTCCTGCAGTAATGTGTACGTAATGTGTTTCGTTTCTTTTGCCGGAGTCATTGCTATTTGTTGAATTTTTTCCTGCTCTATAAATTTCTGCGCTCGTATGAGTCTAAAAAATATAAAAATACAAAATTTTATACTTCAATTAATTTTTAAATTCCTCTTTCGCAAATTGGGAAAAACAAAAATATTACATTCAGAGAAAAAGAATTAAAAAAAAAAAAATTATTAAATTTCAAAAATTTTCTCATATTTTATTTTAATGAAGAGAAACAAATTTACTACCTAAAAACTCGAGCTGCTTTAGATCCAAATCTTTCCATAACAATATTTTCTATTGTTGCCCATGCCAATTGATTAATTGCTTCTTTCATATTTATACTAAATTGTCCGCCACTAGAGTCGCCGACTTTTTTTATAAACTGACAGGAATCTTCCTCTGAAAAATTTATTTTCAAATTAGTCACATTTATATTATATTATTAAAAACTTTTACGTTAAATTAATAACATGAAAATAAAAAGAAATAAAATTAATGTAATTCTTCTATTATTCGATAAATTGTTTTCTCAATAATAGTGTTTCAAAAAAATAATAATTAACTGTTATTACTACTATTTCGTTATAATTATTATTATTTTCTGCAAAAAGCGCAAAATGTAAAATTTTTTTATTTGCAAATAACGTCACAATTTTTTAAATTGCAATATTTTATGCATGAAAAATGTAAAAGGGCCGAAAGGTCATATATACGAAATCAATAAATACAATAAAATTTTTATGCTTATAACAAATTTGAAAAATCCTTTGGTATTTTAATTTCTTATCCAATACTATAATAATTTTACCAAATTGTAAATTAATTTAAAAACCATTTGTAAATCTTAAATCTTTGAATTATTTCTACTTTTAATTCAATATTTAAATTTAATTTTAAAAAAGTTAATATATAATTGATTGTAAAATGAGATGAATTTTGTTAACTTGGCAAATTAAAACAAATAATGGTATACATTAATAATAATAATAAAAAATGTCTGTATATTGATAAAAATAAATTTCATTCACCTATGAGATGCAAATATTGATCTAAATGTTGAATAAGGCCAGGACCGGGATTTTCAAGTTTCTTTATAACATCTCGTAATTCCGTGAATGGAATTGGATTTGATGTATCGGCCCAGGAAGCTGTACGTAAGTACATTTGATACAACATCCTTCGCATTAATTCACCTGCATTGGCATCAATTCGTTTTGTTATTGCCGAAATAAGAAGTTGATCACTGCAAAAAATAATTTTAAGTCTTTTAATATAAATTAAATAAATAATCTTAATAATTAATTAACAAAATGAAATTACAAAAAATTTCAGTTCAATTGAATTTTTATTTATTTCATTTTTAGTCAATTTTTAAAAATTAAATTGTTTCAACTTTTTAATTTACAAATTCTTTTTTTTTTTTCTTTTACCTTTAATGATATTTCTAGAAATTCAAAAAAAAAATTATTTACCGAAGATCTTGTGCGAATCGATCAAAATTCACATGCCAATAAATATTAGCGTCACCCGGATCGCCATTGGCGCCTTTTGCCATTAAAGTCAAACTTTTTAAATCTAAATTTGGAAGACTAAAATCTTGTCTATCCGCTGGTCCTTCATCGCTGCATTTCTCTGAACAAACACTTCGCATTAAAAATTGATTTTGCACGAGAAGTTCGAATTTCTCCTTTAAAACTGGAAGCGAATATTGTCTCTCGGCTGAAATATTTTAATTGTTCAATTAGACAAAATAATTAAGAATAATAATAATAATAATCAGATAAAAATTCTCTTCTTATTATTAAATAGAAACATATTTTTTCGCTTTTACATAAAAACTATTTGTTAAAAAAAAAAAAATATGAAAAATACTTACGACGATTACACAATTGTCTCTTGTAAATTTTTATTATAACGTTTGATGCTGTATCGTACCCATGTTTCAAAATTTCTTCAAACAACATTTCAGACTCATCTCCACAGTTGTCTTTTACAAAGAACATAAACCTGTAAAAAATAAATTATATTATTATTACTATTTATTTATTAAGCTTCAGCCTTTCGGCCCAGAAGTGGACTTGGTTTAATACAAAAATAAAATGTAAAAAAAATAAAATTAATGTAACAAAATTAAATCAACATAAAAGTAAAATTAGTATAAAATTCATTTTTGTAAGCGAATTTTTTTTCTACTTTACCTGGAATATCTTAAAATTAAAAGGATTTTTTCTACATCCAAGGTGTAGATAAGAATTTCTTTACTATTCTGTTCATAGGAAACGAAGCCGAGTTTAATTAAAACACATAATGCCTCTTGTACCTGCAATTAATTAAATTGTTTATAATTGAAAATTAAAAAATTTCTCCATCCACAAACAAATATTGCATTAAATAATGATAATAAAATAATTGTATTTTAATAAATAATTAATAGATATAAAACAATTATTTAATATAAAAAAAAAGAATTTAAATTTGCAATTAAGAAATTTTTTATTTAATTAATTAAAAAATTAAAAATTGATTATAGTAAGGAATTAGAACCTAACCGGAACTTTTTAAACAAAGTTTATAATATATAAATTCTTTAGCTTATTTTTACAAAGCTGTATCAATTAATAAAAAATAAACATTTTTTTTACCTTTGATAATGGAAATTTAGTAGTGCTACGAATTGAATTCAATGATTTATCACCATTTTTGAATAAGTCCATTGCAACATTTTGCACAATTGAACCAAAATGTTCAAGTAATAATGCACTGCACAATTTTCCACACACGGGAGATCTTATTTCCACCATTTTACCAAGAAAAATGAATTATATTTTTCACTTTAAGCTTTAAATATTTATAAGAATTATTATAATACCGATAATTCAAAAATTTTATTTCCTAACCTATAAATTTTCGACATTCAAATATATTGCACATTATTAACTATATAAAGAAATCACAATGAAGTTATTCACAAAATAACTAACCTAATCTAAATAAAGACATAATTTACAACTTTCATGGAGTGTTAATAAATAAATTTTAAAATAAACATAGAAAATTATAAAAGCAGATAAACAAAGCAAGAAACGTGTTTTTGTCCGTATTGCGTTTGCGCGAGGAAAATCGATACTACCAGTTTCGATATATATCGAAAATTTTAAATTTGGTTTTATTTATTATTAATTTATTTATTGAACAGTTAAGTTTAAATATTATTATTGAATAATAAAAATAATATTTAAAAATATTTTTATCATTCCTAAAGTATTATTATTGTTATTCTGTTGTTCTTACAAAAATTTTAATAATGATGAACATTCAAAAGAAATTTAATTTGCATATACTCGTAAAAATTTTATTAATTCTATAATTATGTTTAATTTTATGCCTATAAATTTTAATATATTAAAATTTGAAAATTCCGCGTTAAAAAAAGCACGAAAAATCTCAATGCGCTAGGAACATTCCAGTCGTCTTTGTAGCAGCCAATAGAAACAAATTGTTTTGATGTCTCCTCGTTCGTGATTGGTCGTTGTTAATTTATCCTAACCTTAACTCTCGTTTCATGTAAACTCGCAATCGGTCAAGCATTTACGCTTTCCCTCCTGTAGCGCGATTCGCATCATCTCACATTTAGATTCTTTAAAAAAAACATTTTCAAAAATCCATAATATCTTGAAATTCATTTGGAATTATAAAGAAGTTTGTGTTAATTTGTTGATAAATTCACGTGATTCGCGCCGGTCGCCGTGAAATTAGCACTTCCGCCGGAACAACATTGTCGCGAATGATCACGTGATCGGTGATCGAGTTCGTCGTTTGTGGCCACGAGGTTTTTGTGGTGAAAATTGTGTGAATTGGGTGAAAAAAAGCCCTCTATTTTTGTAGTCATACAAAAATGCCTTCCAGCAATCCCCTGCCACCTAAAGAGAATGCACTGTTTAAGCGAATTTTGGTGAGTAACAAACCCCGTGAATAATACTCCGTTGTTTTGGACCCCACTCCCCCGGCTACAATAGCAAAGTCGACAAAATGATAAAAAAGCCCATACACGGAAAAAAAAAAATGTTGAAAAAATTCATTGGCAATTCTATGCTTATATTGATTATGATTATAATATAATTTCGTCTCAATTGACACGGGAATTTGTATCCTAACCACAATCGACATTTTTACTATAAAAAAGTTTATAGTTTGCTCCACTTTTGGCATGCCTTACTTCTCTTGATTTCAAAGTCTCATTTTTTTTTTGTGAACGTTTTATCTTGTCGACAATTTGTCGAAAAGTTATCATTCTAATTCTATCGTTTTTTTTTTTTGTTACTATTTTACCTTTTTTTTTGGAGCACTGGTGTAACGAGGACGATTTTTTTTCATTTTCCCCTCCCCTAGAGTAAAACCCAACCTATTTGACAAATTGGGCACGGATTTGTTAATTGTTATCGTATAATTAGTAAATGTGTAACAAACTTTATTGCCAATTTAATAAGATGGAATAACTTAATTGTTAACATTTATCAAATTGTCACAATCTTGTAATATTTATTTTGATTCTTGAAAGCTATATTTTACGAAATATAAAAATTATCTAGGCTAATTGTTAATAACGAAATTATTTTAAGTAATATAAATAATAATTATTGACAAAATGAAATACTTTTTGAATTTTTTTATAAATGTTATGAAAAATATTATTAGTTCTAGTGAATATTTATATAGTAATTTTCTTTTTTATTTTCTAGAAATTTCCATGTATTTATCGAAATATATATTTTTTTATCTTATATAATTATTTATTTTGTTATTTTATTCTTAAACTGATTCATAAACGAATTTTAAATATAAATATATTTATTATTTAATTTATTAGAGTAGAATTTTTATTACATTAATTTGTTTTATTTTTAAATGTGTTGTTCAATGAATAATTTTTAGTTAACAATGCAATGATATTTTAAAATTTCATTTAGTATTCTAAATTACAATTATTCTTCTATTTTATTGTTTTTAAAGTCAATATTTTTAATGTTCAATTATTTCTGAAAATTAAGTAAATTTAAAAAGAAATATTTTTTTAAACATTATAATCTTTAATTCATGTTAGTATTACATTTTTTTCAAATTAGTTTTTAAATATTTATTGAAAACAAAGAGTGCATGTTCTATATTTGAAAATAAAAATAGAGATATGAAATTAAATTGTTTATTAAGATGATAGTTAATGTGTGAAACAATATTATTATTGTATTGTTTTTTTTTGTAATTTTCACAGAGATGCTACGAACACAAACAATACAAAAATGGATTGAAGTTCGCGAAACAAATTCTGTCGAATCCAAAATTCAGCGAACATGGGGAAACGTTGGCGATGAAGGGCCTCACGTTAAATTGTCTTGGCCGCAAGGAGGAAGCTTACGATCATGTTCGACGTGGACTCAGAAATGATTTACAATCGCATGTATGCTGGCACGTTTACGGATTGCTTCAGCGATCGGATAAAAAATATGACGAAGCCATCAAGTGTTATCGGAACGCTCTCAAATGGGACAAAGATAACATTCAAATCCTTCGAGATTTGTCCCTTCTTCAAATTCAGATGCGCGATCTCGACGGCTACAAGGTGTTTATACTCGTCATTTTACATTTTAGTTGAACTTCCTTGATTTATTGCACTTTTTTTCTAAATTTCTGTCTCTCTTATTATTATTCTTTTTAATTTGAATTTAAATATTTCGCATTTGCTTTATATTATATTTAAAAAAAATAATCGTAATTGTTAAATAAAGTAATATTTTTTGAATTTTCAGGACACCAGGTATCAACTATTTATGCTCAGACCGACCCAGCGGGCCTCTTGGATTGGCTTTGCAATTTCCTATCATCTACTACGAGACTATGAAATGGCTTTGAAGATTCTTGACACGTTTCGAAATTCTCCTATGGTAATTAATTTTAATTATATACTCCTTTAGATTTAAATTTTTATTCACACAATTTACTTTTATTTTCTAACAATATTTTATACCAAAAAAAATTCTTTTAAACAAAATTATTAATTGAAAAATTTATTCAATGAACAATGAAATTCAATTTTAAAAATTTGATTGTTTTAAAAAATACAATTCTTTGAAATTCAATTATTATAGAATATAATTTTTTTTTGCCTCAATTACATATTAATTATTTTGTAAATTGTTTTATAATTTCTTATTTTCTTGAAATAATTTTTTTTTATGAAAAAAATGTTACAGATTTGCTATGATTATGAGCACAGCGAATTATTACTTTATCAGAATATGTTAATTCAAGAATCGGGTGACAGTGAATCGGCATTGAAACATTTGGACAAGAACATTGAACTTATTTGTGATAAAGTGACGGTAAAAGAAACCTATGGTACGTATCAATTTTTTGTCATTCTCTTTTTCTCACAATTGATTAAAAATGAAATTAATTTTTATTGTCCATCTTTTTTTTTACAGGCAAACTGCGACTAGAACTAGGATTATATGCCGAAGCGGCGCAAGTTTATAAGGAATTATTGAACATTAATCCTGAAAATACAACTTATTACGATAGGTTAGCAGAAGCCCAAAGACACACTTGTCCCGAAGAGACACTCCAAATGCTTAAACTTTATGAAGATATGTTTCCGCGTGCATTGGCGCCTCGACGTCTTCAATTGAATTACGCTGTTGGTGAACAATTTGAAATTCTCGTCGATAAATATTTGCGTCAAGGTTTGTGCCAATTTAAAAATAAGTTAATTCAGAATTGTTAATTTTAGGTAATTATTTTAATGGAAAATTTATTGATTGTTGATGAAAAAATTGAAATTTAAAAAAATTTATTTTATGTTGAAAATTAAATTTTAGTTTAAATTGTTTTTTTTTGTTTTTGAAAATACAGGTCTTCACAAAGGTGTGAACCCACTTTTTGTGAGTCTTCGTTCTTTGTATACGAATAAAGATAAAGTGGAAACAATTGAATCATTACTTCTTCAATATAAGGAAGCTCTCAAATCTCATGGACATTTTAGTGATTTGGAGAAGGAAAATATGAAAGAGCCGGCCTCAGCGCTTTTGTGGGCGTATTATTATTTGGCACAGCACTATGATTATTTAGGACAGACGAAAAAAGCTCTTGAAGAAATTAACGCTGCCATCGACCATACACCGACACTCATTGAACTTTTCGTCACAAAAGGACGAATTTACAAGGTAACTTAATCGTTCTCGAGTAATTATCAACAATTTAAAAAAGGCTGTTTTTATTTTTTTACAAAAAAATGACTATGTACATTGAAAATTATTGTGTAACATATTTTTAGAAAAATTGAATTACTATTTATTGCTAAAAGTAGAAAAAAAATCTAAAACAAAAAAAATTAAATTAAAAATTTTATATGCAAAGCCATGAAATATTGATAGAATTTATAATAAAAATTGTATTTTTCAACAGCATGCAGGTGACGTTCAAGAAGCATACAAGTGGCTGGATGAGGCACAAAGTCTTGACACTGCGGATCGTTACATAAATTCAAAATGTGCCAAATATATGTTGCGTGCAAATGTTGTGAAAGAAGCCGAGGAGACTTGTGGCAAATTCACGAGAGAAGGTGTCCTTGCAATGGAAAATCTCAATGAAATGCAATGCATGTGGATTCAAACTGAAGCCGCCTACGCGTACAAACGCTTAGAAAAATATGGAGAAGCGCTCAAAAAGTGCCATGAAGTCGATAGGGTAATTTTTTTTTATTTTATAATTTTACATTTTATCTAATTGCATCTATTTATAAATAAACAATTTAAAAGTTTACCCTAAGAAAATAATTGAATTTTTATAAATGAAGAAAATAAAAATGAATTAATGTCAATGTTTTCGAAATTTATTGTTATAGCATTTCTCGGAAATAATAGAGGATCAATTCGACTTTCACACGTACTGCATGCGAAAAATGACATTGCGTTCCTATGTCGGTCTATTGAGGTTAGAAGATGTTCTTCGCTCACATCCGTTTTACTTCAAAGCAGCAAAATGTGCAATGGAAGTCTATCTTCGACTTCACGATTATCCCCTTCCAGATCCAGCACAAGCTCAAGAAATCGACACTGGTGAGTCATTTAATATTTCAATAACATATTTTCAATAATTTTTTTAAAAATTATTTTCAATATTTAATTTATTTTTATTTCTTAATACATTTTCATAAAAATTAAAAAGTTAACACATGTCAGTGAATGTTTCGCTCTTATATAATATAATGAAGTTTAGCCGCATCTACAATACTATTATATATATATATATATAATTTTAACGGTGACGATTTTTAATAATCAAGATTATAAAAGTCGCGCAAGCATAATTAATGTCTCCAGACTTTAAATAATATTTCGGCGCGAAACCCAAAAAAAGTTTTCCAAAAGAAACTCGTTTACATTTTTTCCTCCCACGTAAAGCATATTTCAATTTTGCAATGTAAATTTTGACTTTGAAGATGGAAATTTTGATTTGATTAAAAATTTCAAATTAAAAAATTAATTATTTGATTTTGATTTACATTTAGAAAAAAATTTCGATTTTACAGAAAAAAAATTCCAGTTATTTTTTTTATCCATTCCTGATTTTCGTCTCAATTCTTTGTTTTTTTTTTTTTAATACTGTTTTCTTAATTATCTAAGACTAAGGCTCCATGCTGATAAAATATCAGGAGTTTTATTTTTTGTAAACTTATGACAGTACAAGTTTGACGGAAGACATTTTTTTTTTTTTTTCATTTTTCATGTCCGGCGAAATAGAGGAAATCATGAAATTTAACAATCGTTGATGTTATTCGATTGATTTTTGTATTTAATTATTTTCTTTTTTTCGAACCGCCGTTTCGTATACGTATATGTACATCTTCGATGATTAATCACAGACGGGAGAGTCAATCACAATTGTGCGTTACGTCATTATTACCGCTGACGATAATGCATCATTTGTGTGTCCATTTGAGAAAAAAAAAGTTATGTCGCATAAATTAAGGCGTTAATCACGCAATCGTACACTAGTTGTGTGTAAAAAAAAACATACAGTTAACTTAAACGGCTGTATTTACAAGCAATAAATATTCTACTCGTACTTACTAAGTGAGTAAATATACTCGAAGCGTAAGGCCGCTTCTTCTTTTTCGGGACAAACCTGAAAAATATATTCCTTCTTTTTTTCTCTTTTTTTTGTTGTTTTTGTTGATAAATTTAGCAACGTTAAAAGAAATATTGAATTTCTGAACATTAAATTAGCAGGTTAATTTGAAAGAAAGAAAAAATTAGAGTTACAAAATATTTAATTAAATTATAGAAAATATTTGCGTTTTTTAACGTTGCTTTTGTTTTTCTTTTTTTTCAACAATTCTCTTTTTCAATATTTTTTAATTTTTTTGTTTTCCGTTTTTCTTCAGTTCCTCTTATAGAAGCGACCTACGTTTTTGTAATTCTGTTTACAATTATGGCAATTTGATTTTAATATTGTCAACCCTCAGTAGTGACAAGTTTCGTATATAATAAGGAATTGGAAAAAATTTACAATTTAATGAAAGGTTTTAATCTAATAATTAGAAGAATAATAATTCTAATTTATTTGTCAATCGAATTTCGATAAATTTGAAATCTGATTAATTTGGAAATCGAATTCTAAATTTTGTTCTTCAATTCATTTGGAAATGAAAATTTAGTCAAAACCCATATTACATCGGGTTAACGCCTATTATTTTCGGTTTAAGGAAAGAAATCGTTCTGGCAATTTCGATTTTACTCTTTTAAAACAAATACAATGTTCTTAATTTATCTTTTGCTTAGATTAGAAAAAATTGAAATCGCTAAATGAAAAAATAGTACAATTAAACATTTTCTCAACGAATTAGAGTTAAATTTTAATTTTTGTCAATTGACTTCGACTCCGAATAAGAATTACGCTAATTGCAACAAATTTCTTATTCTTATCCAACAGAATTTCATGCTTCACTGTATTTAGTTTGACTAGAGCAAAAGAAATTCCCTTTTCATGAAATTTTTTTCCGTGTAAACTTTTCTAAACGTTAGTACCGGGACCGCGTCTTCGTCGCAGGAACCTCGACGTTCTTGGTTTCGCAAAAACACTCTCCCTGTCCTCCTGTCTGGCTGGATTGGCCTGTGGTGGAAAAAAGTAGACTTGACCTCCTGGCAAACTATACTCAACGTAAGAATTTGCTTTGACAGGCTCGGAATTCTGAACAGGTGTAATAAACTCAGCATCGGGATTTATTGGGGGACGTGGATTTCGATAATTCACCGCAATGTCGCCCTGCAGAGAAACGGGTCGCGGATATTTATTCCAATTTGTAATGGGTACAAATCCACCTTCGTTGCGGACTCTTTGTAATCTTTGGTCACCATAGTTTCTAATTGGAGTGAAACTTGGTTGAGCCCTTATTCCCTGCGGTCTGTATCCTCTGACTTGATTCTCAACCGGGATAAAGTCTTGAAATTCCCGCGGAACGGATTGTGAAATAAATTCACTGTCCGGATTGATGGGAGGTAGGGGATTTCGGTAATTCACCAGAATATCATTTTTTAGGGACACGGGTTTTTCTATTGGTTCACTGTCGGGATTTATTGGCAACTGATGCTTGTAATTAACGAGAGTGTCGCCTTTAAGTGAAAATGGTCCTTGCGATTGGTCACCGTAGTGGACTTTTACTTTAGTTTTCAGCTGACGGAAGTCGTAGTGATTTGGAACGAAGGTGCTGTATTTTGGCTTTTCGGTAACAGTGCTCGACTTTCCGTAAATGGGTGTTGTGCTCTGTCCTCGGCTGGTTAGTTTTTTTCCAAATGCGGTGAAATATTCTTTCGTCACATCGTCCAAGAGTTGCTCATCCTGTTTGGTGAAATAAGACTGATGGGGATCCATTGTTGAATCACTGAAAGGAGAAACGGTCGTCTGGTAAAGGGATTGCGTTTTGTAGGGAATTCTGTGCGATGGAATTCTCTCGAGAGGAATCCTATCCAATGGATTGCGATCTGCCGGATTGCGGTCTGTTGGAATTGTATTTGGAGGATTAAATCCTTGGAAGTTTAAGGAACTTGTGTCCAGAGGAATCCTTTCCACTGGAGCTCTATCCGATGGAATTCTTTCGGTACGGATCTGTTGTTCAGGTAGGGAACCATCGTAATCGTATTGATCGCTTACGGATTGAATGTCTTGGAACTCGTTATAGGAGGCCAAATCCTGTTTCTGTTTATCACGTTTCGAGTAACCGGCGGCCTCGAAACTGTACTGATAAATCGGCTTTGGCTTACGTTCGGATTTACTTAACTCCTCGCGATAATAATTCTTGGGTTTCGGTGTCGTGTAGTAAGAATTCATATCCAAAGCAGTCTTTGGTTTCGGTGTCGTGTAGTATGAATTCATATCAAGAGAACTTTTGGGTTTCATAGTTGTGTAGTATGTGTTTAGGTCGAGGGACCTTCCGGGAACACTTTCGAAGAAAATCGGTCCAGAATTAGGAGATAGATTTTCTTTTTCGTTTGGCTGGTCTGCTTCTGTGTATTGAAAAACCTGAGGGTCTTTGAGGATAGAATCAATTAGTTTGACACTAATATCCGTTGTAGTTTGTCGTGCGGGTAACATTTCTACTTTGTAATAATTTTTGCGTTCCTGCTCCGGAGTTTCGCTTTTCAAGAAGGGAAGGACAGTTGTCGTTCGATACATTGGTGGTTTCATTGTTGAAGGTTCTTCCGTTGCTTCTTCGTAGAAGTAATAAGACGCCTTGCTAGGAACTCTGCCAGTGTGTTTAGTGGTAATGATGGATTTTATCGAAGCGGGAGTTGCCTCGACTGGCTGATCCACAGAAGAGGGAATCGTTGTTGCGTAGTAGGTTAGAGGAACACTTTTACTGATTACCGATGCCCATGGATTTTTCTCCGTTCTTTCTATTGTGTTCTCAAATGTGGATTTTGGATTATCGAAAGATTTTGTATTTTCGAATGAGGGTTTCGATTTCTCGATTTGAGAACTAGTTTCAATCATTGGAGTCGTAACTTCCAGGAAGAAAGGTTTAGTTGTTACACTCTTGAGTTTTATTTTGCCGGTAGGTTTACTGGTGACTGGCAAAGTACCAATTTTTATAGGTGATTGAGAAGTTGGAGTGGTTGTAGTCTTGTAGAGTTTGGTGCCTGTTTTTCTTGACGTAAAATAAGAAGTTCGAGACTTTGATGCCGGGGTAGTAAGTCGACTCGGTTTGCTCTTCTTCTTCTCGTCCAATGAGGAGAAAAAATCTGGCGGTGGAGGTAGTATGATGCCGGGAACAAGAGGACCTGGTGGAATTGCAGTTGTGTTGTCTTGCGGGAACACGAAACTGTAAGGTGGTGGATAGAAAATCGACTGATCGTCTTCATCATAGTCTGACATGTTTGAGGGAGGCGGGACAAAAACCGCTCCTGGAGGAAGTGCAGGAAAGAACGGACCAAGAACATCAAATGGCGGTTCTGATTTGCCTTTCTTCTCGGAAGTCGTTCCTCCCGAATCATTAACAGATTTGATGATATCTGGAGATGCGAGGGAATCACCCATGGGAACTGAGAAGAAAGGACCTTCTCCGGGTAGATAGCCTTTGGATCCACCTAGGTATTCGTAGTCCATCGTACCATTGTCTCGGGATCCATTTCCGTTGTTGCCGATGATCTGAATCGATCCGCCGTCTGAGAGTTGAATCGGGAATGGTGGCGGAACCTTGGGATCTTTTGGAATCTTAACCTGTCTTCTGGGTGCCTCATAGTCGTCAATTGGTGGCCATGGTGTCTCCGAATTTCTAGACGCCGGGTCATCTTTGGGAAAGTTCCCGCCACGCAGAACGAGAATATGATTTTCCGCCATCCAAATCTCGTCTTTATCAAGACCTCCGAGATTCTTGATGGTGTCTTTGGGAACCTCCGAATTGGGAAGGTAGCTAATAATTCCGGGCCGTTTTGGCTCGTGAGGATAGAGCTCACTTTGGATCAATCCATATTTGCCCTCTTTTACTTGTTGCGATAATGTCTTCTTCTCGTCATCATCGTCAGCTGTTGATTTTCTTTCTTTGCCATTTCCTGCGGAGGACATGAGTATACCGTCGTCCCATAATGTGTCGTCTTTGTCACGCTTGGCTGTTATCTGATCATCCACTGGCACTTGAGAGAATCTTCTTCCTGTAACTGTTGCTGCTCTCCGATCAGTAGAAATGGAAACTTTCTGTTGCTTAGTGGAATTGGTCCATTGACTAGATTCTGCCGCAGTGGCAATGTGCCTTCCACGTCGATCCAACGACATCGACGACGTTAATGTTGTGATTACCACAAGACTCATTATGAATTTCTGAAGAATCCGCTGGTCCATCTAAAACAATTAATGAATTTATTTTTAACTGATAATTCTTTCAGATTAATTTAGGTGTAATTTGTTATAATTTTTAAATTTTTTCAACATCAAAAAATAATTCTTTTATTAAACCGAATTAGTGGTTTTATTAAAATTGAAATTGTTAAATGAGATTTTTAAAAATAAATATTATCAAACAAGTTTAAAAGTGTGTTCCTAATGTATACCAAGTCAAAGATTATCAGTTTACGTAAAATCGTGTAATGTTTTGAAATCTAATTTATGTTAAAAACCCCATGACAACGCGGAATGTTGTAATTTATAATTCCTAGTGATTTTGTATAAACAGTGAGGACTTGATTTTGCTCTCATATAGAAAGTTACGTTACAATGCATTCAAAACACTCGAATTACTTCCTTACTAATCTCGCGAGAGCGATATATGTGGTTCTTGCAAATAGAAAAAAAGCTTACCGAAAAAAAAAATTTACAAGTTACATGACAACCACATATGATAATATAAATTGAGAGCATTTACAACAGTTATCGAGGAATTGCGACCATTTCACACTATGTGAAATTAACTTTTAGAAATCACTTTAAGAAAAGAAACTCTCGTAATTTCTGAAATATTATCGCTACAGCAGTTATAAAAATGTTGTTATTTTTCTTGTCTTCCGCTGCGTTCATCATTAACTTGCGACAATTGGTTTAATTTTGTGTTCGCGATTCCTAGATTTAGTGAAAATTTATAATAACACGTCTCGCAAGTGCAATGATTGCACTCCATAAACAAATAAAATTGACTTCCTCAAACAAGAAGCACGGACTTGGTTCTTTTTGAGAGATGAATTACGTAATGGACGTCAAATTAATTTTCACGTGCCTATATCAGAAACGGGATCGCGCGCGTCCACAAAGGGAAACTTTGCCAACTTTCATTTACCACCGCGGGCGTTTACACGAAATGTATACCATATACAAATAAATTAGATTTAAATTTTTTTTTATATTTTGAGAAGAAAAAATTACATTTTTTATCCTCGCAGGAAGATTGAAAAAAGATCTGAAATGGATAGTTACAGTTTCTTTTTTCTTTGGTGTTTCGTAGAAAGTTTTGATCTCGACTTAGTTTTTTTTTTTTTTTGTCGTTCGAGAGGCAGACAATACTTGTCGGATAAGTTCCTTAAGGGGATTTTTGAAACTGACGCGGAAGCAATTGACGACATAGCCGGAAGTAGTCATTTGTCTTTAATTTCGACTGGAAAAAAGTTATAATTCAGTTTGATTATAATTGCATTGTACGAGCATTCCTTTTGTTTGGAAAATTGAAGGAATTAACGAATTTAACGGGCGCGCAAAGACTATCATGAGAGGGTGCCACGCCTTTCGCGGACCCGCGCCACGCGGTGAACGGTCGACAAACATTCACGGGTCACTTGTATGTATAGTCGAGCAAAACTTGTAATGACTCGCAATACTCAAGGAATATAAATTCACCGGCATTTCGCGAGCACGATTTTCTACGCTCATGATATGCATTTTCCTCTCTCCCCCCTTCTTCTTCTTCTTTTGCTTTTGAACGAGAATGCAATTCCACTAGACGATTATATATATGCGATAGTCGGCCACGCGGAAGTAACGCCGGTGCCCCGTCGCTAACTTGAGATAGGATTTCCGACAGAACCTGCATCTCCCGCAAGTACCGCGTCGGACTTTACTCTCTTTCTCCATCTCTATATCACATACAGATTGCATCCATTTATCACGATGATAAATCGATCAGGCCAATATTGTAGATCTGCGGAAAACTAGATATCAGGTAATTTAATTCTCTTGTATTCCCTATTTTTGGGTTTAAATTTCCTGCTTTGATTTTATCTTAATAAAAATAAAAGAAAAAAGAGAGGAATTCTTAAGTTGGTTTCAACAATTGTTAACTTTTGACAAATAAAATGAATTTTTCATTTCAAAATTTGTTTTTCAATTAAAATATTATAAAGTAAAATACAGTATTGGAGTTAGAAATTTGAGATTATGTATTATGATTCCAAAAATTAAAATGGAATTTTAAAAATTTATTGAGTTTAAGTAAAGAAAATAGATTTAAAAAAGTAAGTGTAAAAGAAAAAAATGGCTTTTAAAGTTGAATATTACAGCGATTATCATTAGAGAGGTATATAGCAATCTTTGATTATAAGTAAACACAGCAGTTCATTTTCGAAGACTAAAACAATTATTATCAGTTTATTTTATGGTGATTGCTTCAGTTATTCTTTTAACTCGAAGGATATAAATGATAATTTTTTTTCTCTTAAATATTTTACAATCTATTAAAATGCTGAGAGAATAAAGATCTGGAGTGAAGTAATTTTGTCATTTTTTTTTTTTTGGTCGCGAGTATAAGTATGCAGAGTTTACAATTATCTTGAAAGCAAAGAAATTAAAAATAATAATAATAATGGTAATAATAGTAATATTATTATTAAAAATAAAGTAATATAATAATTTTCATCATAAGTACAACTTTAAAAAAAAAACTATTATTACTGTTATTACTTGAACTGGAGATAGAAACAATTATTTTTTTTTATTTTACTCACTTAAATTTTAATCGGAGGGAAGAAAAATGGTAAATTATTTTTTTCCAAATTAAATTACGAAAGTTTAGATAGAATTTGAAATTACTGAAATATAGGAAGTATATACACTTTGACGAATTGACTTTTCGGATTTTAATGATTCGACAACTTTTTGTCAATTCAATTATTTAACGTTTTTAATTAGTAATTTTCTAAAAATGACAAATTGAATATAAAAAAATATTGTAAGAAAAGTTTGTGCGTATATATAATAATTGAATATTAAAACACTAAATTTTTTATGAATCCTAGTAAAATTTTGTGTCAGTTTTAGTTGGAAAAATTTATCTTGAATGGTTTCGAATAGAATGAAACGCGTGGTATGTGAGAACCCCCGCGTGGCAAACATATAGAGAAGATGTACTATATATACCATTCGAGTGGTTTTAAAGGGTACTTATAAAGACTCGTGCAATTTCGAATGGGGCCATAAACCGTTTAATGAGTTTCACTGTACGGGCCGGGTAATTTTGTATTCTTCGGGGAGTCGGAAGGGCAAATTGGAATCGTGTTGTAAATGTGTATGTGTAATGAGTTGACGTGACCCGTTATGCGGTGTAACGTAATAAACGCGCGTGAACTTAAATGCTCTCGGGGACTCGGTCGCGATTCACAACGATAAGCCGTTATGTGTGCCAGAGAGCCAATTGGCTTTCCTCCTTCCCTTATACTATATGCCTTTTAAAACAAAAGTGTGGCGACGAGTTGCGTTACACGTGGTTTTCTTACAGTGAATTAAAATACCCCGAGAGCTATATGGGAAAAGAAACCGACCCGTGAGAAAAATGTCTATTTAGGACGCGGATCGTTTCCTTCTAAATGGCATTATTGCACGCAGTCGTTCGCATTATCGTAAACCAAGCACTATAAACGCCAATTATCTCGCTTCGTTTGCATCCAAGGCCACCGCGTGAGTTCTCAACGTGTATATTATACACATATAATTTTGGGGTTTGAAAATTATTTACTCTGCAATTTCGATCATTTACAACATAATATTTGATATCATTGTTAGTTACTCAAAAAATTTTACGACGTAATTTTTTTTCTATCATTTGATAGAATTTCCTTCTGAAATGCATTTCTATATTTGACAGAATTTTTAGGAAACCAAATTTTTATTTAAAAGAATTTTCCTTTTCTCTTTTTCAAACTTTTTTTGTAAACAATTCAAATTTAACCGAATTTTAATTTTAGCAGTCTCACCTTCAACAGAATTTTAAGTGAGTTGAATTTTGATAAAATTTGAACAAATGAAGATTCTATAATTCTGGAATTTGGAAATTTAACTCACTTAAAATTTTGTTGAATATGAGAATTCGCTGCTAAATTAAAAATTCTGATAAATTAGAATTCTTTTATAAATAAAATGTTTAATAAAGAGCAATTCTGTGAGAAGAAAATTTTGTTAAATGAAGATTTACTCTCTAAATTCGAATTAGTAAAAATGTTTACTAATTAAAATTAGTGACTCACTTTTTGCTTTAGAATTATATAGTTAAATTTTACTAATTTAGAAGCAAAAAGTGAGTCACTAATTCAAATTAGTAAACATTTTTACTAATTCAGATTTAGAGAGTAGTGACCTGAAAATTCGGTAGCAATCATCAGATTTTAAAAATCCAAAATGTCGGATTTAATATGGTGGACTGATTTCCAAAAATTGATCGAATCCATTTCGAAAACATTATCCTGGGGGTTTTTGGGGTCGCTGATTACGAATTTGACGTTAGATTTTGAAAATGAAAAATTGTGAATTTAATTCACGCATCATTTCGACAAGATCAATGACTTCCTGCTTTCCAGAAGAAGGAATATGGGCGCGCACCTACGTGCTCGGAAATACCTCCTCCACTTCTTCGTTGTGCACAGCCTTTTCCAAACGAGCGTCCTTGAATGTCTCGTTTGCAATGAGAAAGGTAATGAAAACGGACCGGTCACGTGTATTATGTCGATTCGAATAGTCCAACTTTGCTTTTGCTGCTGACTGCAGTTCGCACGAGTTCACGAGAGTCTTGGAAATCTCGGGCGACTTTCAAACAAGCCTCACTTATACATATATATACACACATTCGAATATATCCTATACCGTGAGACCGAAAATAATGTGCCTTAAATTTTAACTAAATACACTCGAAAACATCATTTTCTTTTTGCTTTACATATTGTCGAGAAATAAACACTCTTTAAATTTATGTATATATACGTATGCCAAATGTATACTTTCTACCTCTTTATCGCGTTACATAAACCGTTCAAACATAAATTAAGATCTGAATGGACAAAAAAACTATAAATTCACTCTCTCGCTTTGACAATGAACAAAAAAAAAAAAAAATAAAAATATCTCCCTTGTCAATGTCTCGCAGGTAATGG